CCTCCGATTGGCAACCCTGGCACGTTTGAAGAATTGCATAAGAAATGTAAAGGTGAGGCTAATATATATTTTACTCTTGACACATACAGTAAAGCTTTCAGTTGAAAATCATACTTGTATGAAGTATTAAAGGTCTCGCAGATGTATTATTATTAAAATGTACAACATGAATGTACATCTTTGTACCATTTATAATATTAAAGTGTCACCGGCCTCTTTAAATATTAAAGTTTCTATCTATCTATTTCTATATGATATATTCATTTATAATATAGCATTTGTAAATTCTGAACACTGATTGGCTAAGAGCCGTGTTGATATAACTCAATGTCAACATGGGAAATTTTCCGCCGCTTGTAAACACCGAATTTTTTCTTATCCTTCAGGCTTTCTACATTGCTATATTATAAAAAAAATATAAAACATTTTTTCCGTATTGATATATAGTTATATCAACACTCATGGAAGTTGGGAAAACTCGAAATTGTATGAAAACACTCCGCCCTTCAGGCGTCGTGTTTCCATACAATTTCTCGTTTTCCCAATTTCCACTCATGTTGATATAACTGTATATCAACACGGAAAATGTTTTATATTTGTTAAATTTACATTGAAAAATGAAAATTGTATATTTATGCTTCAGCATAAAAATTACTCTGCAAGCAGAGCCTAATTTGTGATTTCCCCAAAGAAAAACAGGGCCACAGAATAGAGACATACAGAAAGTCAACTCGTACGAAAAAGCGTATGCCGCTGCCACGCTATAATTCACAATAATTTGTCGTCAAATTGCTATTGCCATGGTCCAAGCCAGTATGGTTATGAGAGCCATTCACGCACTGAATGTGAGAATGTCCACCATTTTGAGTATTCTCAGGGGGTGAATACCTCACATAAGTGCACTGGCTAGGACCATGGCAACAGCATTGCAAGGGTATGGCAAAATCATAGCCAAAACCAAGAAGTCGGACTTCTGTATGTCTCTATACTGTGAGAGGGCTCTGCCGTAGTTGCACGATCGATTTCTGTTGAGCACACACTTTGTCCAATCTATCAAAACATGCCAAAATAGAACCATTTGTATTTTTAGAGATGCATATTACAGTAATCGCATGCTGTTATAGCTACGTGCTGGGCTTGTGCTCTGGACGTGATGTAAAATTACAAAAATAACAACACAAAATCATTTCCAAATCTATTAAATAAATAGATAATTACCAGCCTGCAATCGATGCATGTTCTGTCACTGATCTGTGGTGTACTGTTAAATCCCCCACAGGATGCATTTCATGTATACTCTGTACACCAGAGATACACCAACATTTGATAGACAATCCTGTGTGCTTTAAAGACTGAAAAGTAATCTCACACAAATGTACCAAGACTTTGAGTAATCTCACGCCAATATGCCAACCAATTTTGTAACTTCACACTGGCGATCTCCGGCTTGGAATGCACCTTTGAATCCGCCAGCATATATTATAGACAACGAACAATCTGGCATAAGTGTTGGTTGGTGGATGGCTCTGTAGAAAAATTCAATAAATTGATTATTTATTAATATACTGAATTGATTATTGTAAGAATATGGTGAATTGTTACTCCAGATAAGCCACAAATACTTGAAATATTTCAGTTTTTTTAACTTTTGGATCTGCTGGCTGCTTTTCGTTTTCTGCCAAACTGCAACAGATACGTGGCTGATTCCATTTTTTACTGTCTGGAAATAATGCATTATTCATGATTTATCACCTCTGATGGAGGAACCTGCTTTAGAAAATGGCAAACTTGCCACCCACCACATTATCTTGTGGCATACTGCATGTTGCCTTATGTGTAGGAAAAGTCTATAGTCAATTTCTTTAGTGGAAGAAAGGCTGCCTTTTCATAAATTTTACATGTTTTCAAAGTTTTGAAGTTCTGAGACCCATTTGTTCCACCTGAAAATCAAGTCACCTGTGAGGATATCATCCCAACCGATCCCCGTTATCCAGATATCCTGCATCAAAACTTTCATATCCGTATCGGGTAGTTGAACACAAAAGGTAAAGACACCATTTGTTGCCTCCCACAATATGCCAAGAGTCTTGATCTTGGCAAAATCATCAGACCTGCTTTATGGATTTCAAGGCTATTAATTTAGTTGATCTTCTACAGGAATATTGTCCACGGCTGCTGGATCATTGGATGACCATTTCCTCCGCTTGAAATTGCACATAGCAAGCAACTCTGACAGCTCATGTCGTAGTTGTATAGCCTCGTCTACCGTCCCAAATAAATCTAACACATCGTCCACATAAATAGAATTGTCAACAGTTTCTGCAGCATGAGGGTAATCTGTAGCGTAAACTTTCGCGTTGGTGTGCACCAACGTGTTGTGCACAGAATGGGGAAGCCCTACCAAACAGGAATTGTTTCAACTCGCAGTGATCTGGATCTTTTCTGGAATCAAAGTCGCGCCAGAGAAACCTGTGGTAACGTCGATCTTCCTCAATTAGACCAACTTGTATAGAAACATCTCCGAGATGTCTCTAGATAGGGCTATAGGGGCTCGTCGAAAGCGTGTCAATACATCAGTTTGAAGTTTCGGACCAGGTCGTCGCACAGCATCGTTGAGACTTTTTCGGTTTTTCCGTTGTCTTTGGCAGTGGCATCAAACAATGAAGACCATACGTTTGTTCGATCCTGTTTTATTACCAGGAAATGAGGGAGAAACCACTGTTCAGGCTCATTGCTCTTGAGCACTTTTGTAACACAGCCTTTTTCGTTAGTCCTTGATTATCTAGTCATAGGTATTTGCTACTTTGTGACCTCTCCGTACTAGAGATCTTTCTTGGGTCTTCAGTTTGTTCAAAGCCATTTCGTAGTTGTTGATTAGGTGCGGTTCGCCTCTTTACCATGGAATGCCAATCTCGTGTTGACCGTTTTTTAAATGTAAGGTTTCCGTTACTTGGGCTACTGCTGCCTCCTCGTCTGGCGTTAAATCTCTAGTCTTTCTGTTTCATCTCGAATACCAATGGCCTCTAGCTTCCAAAACTGTCGTGCAATATCATCAGAACCTTGCTCTTCGATCTGATTAGTGCGGTAGGTGCGTGTGAAATAGGATGTAGATGATCGTCAAAAGTTTGAAAATAATGTGAAATTTCCATTAAAAACCCGGAGTTTGCGCAGCACTAATTTAATGTCTCATTATGCGGTTGCTGGCCATCTTCAGGGATGTATCGACAATGTTCATCACTTTTGCACCCATTAAGACCTCACCGTCTCACATTAGGGCAATCTCTTTTGCGGTGATCAGCTGCTAGGCATCTAAAGCAGCGTTTACTATTGCTGATTAGTTCCTTTCTTCAGGATACTGGTAAGGCCTTGAATGCACCACACGCCCATGGTGGATGATTTTGTCTGTCATTGCCTCTGAGGGCTTTCTTTTCTTCTGGCTTGTTTCCGAGGTCACCTGTCTCTTCTTGGACTTCTTCCATAATTTGAACTTGAAGCTCGACCCATTTAACTAGGGTTTCAAAGTTATCCTCATGGGAATGTTCAATAAGCCAGTATTTGTATGCTTGAACATCTCGTTGTGATAACTTCTCTTTCGCGGTGAGATTCAAATTTTGCCCGGTCAGTTCTTTACCCCCTTTCTTGCAATGCAATCATGACACGTTCCAAAATGACCAGAAAGTATTTCATGTCTTCAAGGTTCCGTGACTTAATCTTTGGCATATCACGCAGGGCTGTTTTCCAGTTTGGACTTTTCTCTCTCATATGGGTTCAGTGAGTAGCCAAGGTATTTGACCATTATTAGTACCTTCCCAGATAAACTACTTTGGAGGCGTAACATCTTTTCGCTAGCCGAAATCTCTGCTTCATCGATGATGGACATGAAAGCTGCTTTCCATGACTCATAGTCTGCTTTATTTTCGCCTGAAAAGTTTGGTAAATCCACACCTTTCAATTTAATTGTTCCATTTACAAGGCTTTATCCAAGCACTTTTGCTGACCCTCGCCCCCGTTTTAGAAAAGAAGATTCAGTTTTTGTGATGCACGAATGTAGCCCTGGGGGTCTAGGGGCAAAGTCCCTGAAAGTTTTTTCTATTTCTGCATCTTAGACTATGTTGCCGTCACGTTGCTTAAATGTAACCGCGTAATGTAAACTTTGCGCAATACCAAAGAGGCCATGCATATATTCGAGCATATTTTTTCTGCGGCTTTTTCATACTTCCACCTCAAGGTTGTGTAAATTTTAGATTTTAGTTCGAAAAATTTACTTTCTATTTGTAGTATTTGTTATTATTCAATCATCCCATTTTATTTTGTGCTGATTTGACCGAAATATTTCATATGAGAAATCCAAACATGCACGCCATGCATCTAAGCATGGTGGGCACAAGTCACAAATTTAAATATACGATAGAGGTAGCTTTTATAACATAAACATGTCGTTTTATTTTGAAAAAAAACCCAGCTCAAATAACCCTGTTTCTCGGAATTCCAAAAACTACTAAAGCGTGTGAAAATTATTTTTTTGTTGTTTTTTTTCTTTTCGTTGGGGAAAAGATTCAGTTTAAAAACTCAATCCAAGATTGAGTTTTGACCTCTGTTTACCGGAAGTCAGTTGCTGCTTGGATAAAGCCCTGATTTATTGGAGTCGTTTCTCTTACTGGGCTGGAGTTGTATGGATCAATCGGTTGATGAATAGGTAACCATGATGCTGGAGGTGGAGGCAAGTTGCTGTTTTCAAAAGTGTTCCCTAAACCAGCTTGGTCGGAATTCAAGTCATGGTCTGCGGTCGCTGCTTTGGCTTGTTTCAATTCAGTTATCTTCGTAGGCAGGATGATTGAATGTAGCTTGTACATTAACCTAGTCTTTCAAAACAACTTATTGCCATTTTTTGTCCGGACGAAATATCTCTGACCAATTTAGAAACTTGTCGGAAAAACTATAATTTTTGGTCACAAAATATCTGATGTCCGAGCGTTATTTCAAGCTTTACTAACTAATAAATTATTCTCATTTTAATTTGTAGATGTTTTCCCACAGTGCTTTGAAGGTGCCAAAGTGCTTTTGAATAAAGGCATTAGTAGTCATTTTCAAGTTAGCCACAGTTTAGCTTTAAGTTCATTGGCAGCAGGAGCATACCATTTTGGAGCTACATATGTTGGAGACAAACAGACTGGACCACATGAAGTACGTGCCATTGTTTTATTTCATTCTATTTCACAGCCAACAGGGCCGGTTGTTCAAATGTCGGTTAAAGACGCTAACCCTGGGTTAAAATTTAACCCGCTGTTTTGGTTGTGTATCTCTGCATGTCCCTTTATTTTACAACTTTAGAAAATAAAGCTTCAATGATCCACACACGTTTTTGGGACAAATTCTATTTTCATGTTGTTAAACAAGCGACTGGGAAGTTTGATTTGAAATTTTTCGTTAACCCTGGATTAAGCTAACTGACTTTCGAACAACTGGCCCCAGCAGTGTAAAATGACACCATCATATTCAGGTTGGCAAATGAAATAACGTTGAAAAATTGACCGGAAAAATGTCCGAGCAAAATGAAATTTGAGTAAAATTGCTTTAACGTTCAATGGACCTATTCCCTAATGAACAAAATTTTGATCTAGACAAGTCTAGACAAACATTTCATCACAGCTTGAAAGAGCATCACAAAATTTGTAATATTCCGAAGTTTCGTGGCGAAATGTTGTGAAATGTGGATAAATTAATATAGCCCTGCGAAGTTTGCCGTTTTTCAGTCATTTTGTATTACGCATTGGAAATTGATACAGCTTTCTGAAAAAAGGTATCAATTTCCCGTGCGTAATACAAAGTGACTGAAAAACGGCAAACTTCGCAGGGCTATATTATCCGCATTACTAATTTTGTGAAGCTCTTTCAAGCTGTGATGACATTTTTGTCTAGACTTGTCTAGATCAAAATTTTGTTCATTAGGGAATAGGTCCATTGACAATTGCGTATTCTTCGCAGGATGATCAGGCACAGCCTACGATTAACTCTTTTCTTTTAATCGAAGGACACTGATTCTTATTTTTTGGGTGGACAAAATGGGATAGTCTAAATGGCGCGGGTCGCGAGTCAATAGATTATTTGAATAATATTTGTTTGAATAATTGTAATTTGGTCAGGAAGTTTCCGATGTCTGATAATTATTTCAGGCTTTAAATCAGTTGCTAATTGGTTCGCAGCATTAAATTTATATTAATTTTGGAGGTCATGTAATATAGAACAAATAGCAGGGTCCCCACGGTCCTTGAAAATCCTGGAAAGTCCTTGAATTTGTTTTAAAAAAATCCAGGCCTGGAAAGTCCTTGGAAACTGATAAGGTCCTTGAAAGTCCTGGAATTTTTTTTTCAGTAGGCTGGAAATAATTGAAGAATTATTACCAACCCAAGGATTATTGCCCAAATGTTTATTTTCTCCAATTTCAATTAAAATTATGTATAACAATTGTCCAAAAGTTGTTTCGATGTCATTTTTTTTCTAATTGCATTCCTCTCCTTAAGTTTAAGGATAAAAGTTAGATGATTTTCAAAGATTTTTCCAGTCGCCAGGTCCTTGAATATACTGAAAAAGGTCCTTGAAAGTCCTGGAAAAGTCCTTGAATTTCATCTTGTTCACTAAAAGGTGGGGACCCTAAAATAGTATTAAGCATATTTATCAGCATATTTACCTTATCAGCATATTTATCTTGCGCATTTTCAATAGTCATTTCCTGTTATGGTTGGGGATATTGACCTAAAGGGGAACTTGAATGCACAAATCATCCACCAATTCACTAATGCTATCCGAGGAAAATTCATTCTTCAGGTAAGATGCATTCACTTATTTATCATTGTCTGACATAGAAGTTTACTAATTTAAGATGCCCATTTCTGTACATACGCTTAAAGTGCACTGAACCACTTTTAACCTTAGTAATACTCTTAGTTGTGTCCATTCCAATGAGCGTAGCAAGACACAACAGCTAGCTCATCAGGGCCTAGTATACACCCTTTTCGAAAGTAGGTCAACTTGGCTATATACAGAGCCTCGTGTTCGTAATTGAGATGTTAGGCTTTGAACAACTAACGTCACATACACGAAAACGAGGCTCTATAGCCAAAATGGCGTACTTTCTGCATGGAAGGGTTTATTGTGTGTAAGCGCTGTCCTGGGCGTAAACCCATAACACAACAATACAAAATGCCTGATAACTTGGCAATTAGATGAGCTGTGAAGAAACTGTTAAGACCATACACCCTTTTCATAAATGGCTGCCGATTACAAATTCTTTTATGTGCATTCTCGTATATGCATCTTAATAAGAATTTTTCAATAGTGCACGCTTTGGAGACTGTGTATATGGCTCTTGAGGAAATTTAGAAGTCTTAGAAGCGCTCATTTGCTTGATCTCGGAACGGCTATATCAGCATTATTATGAACGTTTTTATATTGAATAGTTTGAGTGATCATTTTAGACTCAAAAGAAGTTCTGGGCCATGCAACAGTTCGATGCGGAATATCGTGGAGGAGATTTTACTGCCAGCATAACTTGTGTTAATCCTGATCTTTTCAAATCGTCCGGAATCATTGTCGCACATTACCTGCAAAGTTTTCTGACTCCAGGTCTATCATTGGGAGGTGAATTCTTATACCACAGCGCTGCTGGTCAAGAAGCCGCAGTCGTCTCGTTGGCTGGACAATATAAGACAGATAATTGGACGGCATGTGCCACAGTTGGTCAAGCGGGATGGCATGCGAGCTACCATCATAAAGGAAATGAGAATGTCGATGTGGGAGTTCAGTACGAATACAACACACAACAGCAACAAAGTTCTGTTAGTCTAGGATATCAGTTCAACGTCCCTAAAGCCAACTTAGTTTTTCGTGGTATGATGGACACTAATTGGGTGGTCGGGGCAGTTCTTGAGAAACGCTTTCATCCGCTTCCCTTTACCTTCTCCTTGGCGGGAACAATTAATCACACAAAAGGGGAATCACAGTTTGGGTTCGGCTTGACAGTTGGATAGACTTCTATATAGATAGGGTATGCTTGCTCAAGCAATGCTTCAGCAGTACTGGGCAAACCAGTATACTTCTTAGCAAACGTTTTGAAGTATCGTGTTGCCTATATAGGATCAAAGGAGATTGACATGCGCGCCTGGAAGTGTAAACTTTAATATGACATGAAAAGGTGAAATAAAATTAGACCTATTTTATATTAAGTAACCGATTTCTTCCATCATGCATGCGTATTAAAATTATCTTCACCTGTTAATATTATCGGTCGTGTCTACAATTTGTTTTAGCGAGGTCTCATTCGCCGTCGATTTATAATATAATTTGCGCGAGTCGAGCATGCAGCTAGCATGCCGTTTTTGTCCTGACTGATCGACCAGAATTTTGCCCTAACTGACCAAGTATCGTGGGTGCTTTCTTGTTTGTCAATGCATTTTTGTTCAAAACATCCAAGACAAGAATTGTGTTGAACTGACTTGCTGTGGATTAAAAGGAAAAACAATTAGGGTATATAGGATTTAAGCCTGTTTTCCACTTCAATCGTAACGTACCGTAGCATTTTCTTTTGTGTCGAAGTTATTAATTCCACTCTAGTGGTCAGGAAACAAATAAATACGCTACGTTTCGGTACGATACGGTTTAAGTGGAAAACGGGCTTAAGGCCTGTTTCAAACGTCGAGCTTCTCATTTGCCGAACGCATTAAAAACAATAGATAATCAGCTGAAATGCCTCATTATCTGCGTTCGGCACATGGGGAGCGCGACGTTTGAAACAGGCCTCACACGCCAAAACATGCATCCGATCGAGATAACAATCAGGAAAGGAACAACCAATAAATTCTTCGCTCAAACATGCCATGTTTTTGATGGCAAATAATCTCCATTACGAACGCGATATTGATAAAATAACAGATTTGAATATATAATATTTTATTGTCGATAGCAAATTGTTTCGTTTATTAGCGGGTGCCCCAACGTTAATCGACAAATTTCACCCTTCAGTATTATTTTAAAGTATATAGCTAAAATTGCCTGTGTTTCACCATGAAATTAATACACTATTAATCCATGGTTTGACTTCGGTTTTCTCGACACATTGATAAAGTTGTGTTGGTGTTCCATTTAAAAAAAAAATGTAATTAGACTCTTTTGTCTGGAACACCAACATGGCCGCCATGGCTTTTGTTGAGTTGGTGCAAATTTTTATTTCTGGCCCGGCATTATTTTTTCCCAAAAATGTTGGCGAGCGGGGGGGGGGGGGGGACATTAAAAAAAGGGTCCAAAAAATTTTCCGGACATAAACCAGTAAAATTCAGGGTAAAGAATTTTTTTCCCGACAAATTCCTCTTAAACCATGAGTGAAACCCTTATTTTTGGACCAATATCTGTAAATATATATATATATATATATATATATATATATATATATATATATATATATATATATATATATATATATATATATATATATATA